CCTATCCCCTGTGTGCCTTGATGAGAAGAATGGACCTCTTAAATTTCATGTGATTTGGATTTGTAGAGAGAAATTAAAATACAAAATGAAGTCGTGACTGTCAGATCCGCCTAGATTGAATCTGAGCCGTTGGGCTCATATGTAGCTGTGAGCTAGTGGGCCTACGCTAGCTTTTTCCATATATATATATATATTGCCAAGATGGCTTTCTTTTGGTATTCATTTGTTGGTTATAAGTTTTTATGTTGGGGACTTGAGCTAAAATTTTGTTGTTTTTTCTGTACCTAGTTCGTTTGGTTATGGGGATCATTATGCTGTGGACATTACGCTTTCTTTGCATTCAGGTATCTTTTGAAACTTAAATGTTTATGTTTCAAATTTAATATTTTAGATACGGAAAAGTAGGATAATTATGGAATGAAGGTTTTCATGCTTGCATTTTTTTTGGATAAGATAATTATGGGCTGATGCTTCTTTTTATTTTTTATTTTTTATTTTTTAATGTGGGACCTTGGTAGGAGTGAAACTTCTAGACGCCACAGTGTGGCTGTTGCTCTTTATGCTAACTTTCTTTTAAAGAGATTCATCATGTGTCATTTCTTAGTAAATGAAGAAACTTTCCTGTCCGTAGATAAAAAAATACTCAAGAACTACTTGTTTTTTCCCTAATTAAATCTATCTTATAACTCTCTTAACAAATGGCAGTAAATTCATATCAATTGTGGGAGAGACCTTTCTTTTACCTTACTTGAAGCTACCTTGTCATCTTAATCTGGTTCCCCACATGTCAAAACAGCATTACTTTATAGCTTGTTCTCAGGTCTTTTTTATTATTGTAATTTTTTTGTTTGGTAATTTTTTGTTCTTCTCATCTGAAAATCTGCCCATGGATTGAGTGTTCCACTTCTCTGGCAGTTTGAGTTGACTGTTATTTTCTGTCTCCAATCCGTAAAGGTACTATAGAGGGTGCTGAGAAGTTGAAAATCTATTGTTTTTAATCCCTCCTCTTTTGAACCTCTTCAATGAAATTCATTGTTGTGTAGTATGCCCAGGGAGGATTGGCTGTCAGACTTAGTAAGGAAGAGTAGTGTTGATTTAAAAAAGATGTTGAGATTGTCCTTCTTCACTGTTGCTGTAATGCACAAGATATGTGCTAGCCCAGCCTATGTATTGCAGTCAAAACTGAAAAGTGACCTTCATTAGCAAAAGCTCTATTAGTTATTTGACATAGATCATTTTCTTTTGAAATAATTCCTAGTTTAGATTTGCTTTGGATTCTTAATACTGAATGAAATTCCTGTTGTGTATCTTGATACTGAAAGGAGTTCATGACTTCATGTTTGTGTATTGTGAATTTGTTCATGCACATTTTTCAGAACTATAAAATTGTTTTATAGCTTCCGGCTAGTACGACTTGTAAGCTTACTTGTATTCTCATATTTTGAAAGTAAAGTATTTGCACATCTATATAATAAGATACTGACATAAGGTTATGCTTTATGTTATACAGGTCAAAAGAAAGTTTGGTCATCAAGTTGAAAAGTTCTTTGTATTATTAACAGCTCTCCAATTTCATCTTCTTTTTTACAGCACAAGGCCACTTCCAAACATCTTCGCTCTATGTTTAGGTGGGTCATTTTGTTGATAGAGATGGATAGTCGTTATTATTTTTATTATTATTGTCATCATCATCATCATCGTTGTCGTCGTCGTCGTCGTCGTCATCATGTGTTCCTTTTATTATGTGCCATTTCACTGAGAAATATAAAAAGCTGCAGAAAGTAAGGGCTGCAATGATTTCAAGTGCTGACTGTCATTTATGGGTAGAGTTTTATGTTTAGGAGTTTGTCAGTTGTATCTGTTAAAGCAGAATTTTTTTTCAGTAAAGTTATTTGTTGAAGTAGTTTTCTGGATCATCATCATCATTATTAGTGTTTTGGATAAATCAGTGGGAAGAAGGGTCACCTACCCGTTTTCATTAATAAAAAATAAAAATGCACAAGATGATTAGATCAAAAGATCCTTACCATCAAGCAATGAGATATATCTGAAAGCACGAACATGGAGAGTAAACCAGGAGGCCTAGCATGATCATTATGTGATTTTCCCCATCATCATTGTTTGTATCTCGTCCGTTGTTATGCTTGACAACAGTATATGAAGATCATAGGTTTTGTGGAACGTAGATCGTTTTTTTTGTCAAATGAATCTTGTGGTAGATTTTGATCTAGTTTAAGTATGATTATAAAAACAGTGAAAGGTTGGACTGTTGGTACTGGATAAAGTTGGCATGGCTTGCTCTAGATAACTAAAAACAATGGTGAAGGTGGAATTCATGTCCTTTCGTGCATGTACTCGTTCATCAGTCCATGTGTCTACCCAGCTGTCCTTCCATGTATACATTATCTTCATGAGTTCGATTCATTCATTGATCAGAAGAGATTGATTCTCTTGATTCTTCATTGTGATATATTGTATCAGGTGCTACCCTATTCTTTCTTCCTTTTGGGGTACAGGGGCTGATGCTGTTTTGGTTTTAGGGACTTTTTAAGTCCTTTCTCTGGCCTATGGATAAAGGATTCTCTGTTTGGAGCCTTTGTTTTTATTCAAAGCTCTTCAGGCAATTGGAATTAGTCTGATCAGAATTCTCTTAAACTGGGCTTCACGGCTGGGATGGGGCTGATAACAGCGTTATGGTCCATTTATGATATGGGCAGCTTCTTTGGTTGTTTGATTGGACTTTTGAGTGGCTTTAGTGGTACCTTTGAGTGTGGTAGGGTTTCTCTGTTTGATCCAGTTGGTCACATTTATTGGTAGGTCAGCCATTGGCACATGGAGTTTTGCCTCTAGGTTGTTAACCCAAGGGTTGATGCTGTTTTAGGAGACCTCTGAGCTCTATGAGACAATTGTTATCTGATCATACTTATTGCAGTCCTCATTGAATCGTCTTCTACATCTTTAGTTAATTGTCAATGAAGAAATCATGGAGATGCAGATATGCTCTGACCTTACCTTTCTTCTAATATTTTATCTAATCCTGGCATTCCTTGAAGCAACAAAGTCAGTTGCAAGAATTTGCATGTAACTGCTTCTTTGCTTGATCCTTGTGCTTTGGTTGAAAACTTGCATTATTGTCCTAGTTTGAAATGATGTCTAATATTTAGAACAATAGCGTCTTATGAAAACTGAAACTCTTACTGTTATGTTGTTTTGTTTGAACAGTCAACTTGGCATATGCCTTCTGGTTGAAAGGAAGTCACATAGCAACTCTGAGGTGCCTGGTATGTGCGTTTCTTCCAGTTTTGTGTACTGCTTGTTTGAAATGACTAGTGTCGAATTTTGGTATAGAGACTGTTTGAGAATTTTAATGTGATAATGTGGGATAGGGATACTTCCGGAAAGGTGAGAGGTGTTAAATGGTAGTGGGCTGTATCTTGAAAATTTTGTTTGGAAGGAGAGCAGAGGGTGGGGAAGTGAAATCGATCCTGTAAATATGTCAAATGTTGTTTCCAAGGGTTTTGAGTGTACTATCAGCATTTTTAGTGTACGATCAGCTCTTCATGCAGATTCCTTTGGATTTGATTATTGGATTTTTAACAACCATTTGCATTTCTTCTTGCCATAGAGAAAGAAGTATTGGAATAATCCAGATCCAAAATATCTATAATAAAAAACTTGAGCTTCAATAAGGTTTCCTAGGTCATTCAAGAACATAATGGGAAATGTTCCAACATAATGACTTCATGTGAATCCATATGCATCGGAATATCTCAAAATAAGGCCATTCTACTTAGCACTCCAACTTTCATACTGGTTAATGTTCCATATTTTAATTCTGACCAAGTGTGGGCAAGTTTACCTTGTGGATTCTGAATTAAGAGATATTATTTTCTAATATATGGATTCGACATCCTCTTTCAAGGGTTACTGCAAATAGGAAAGACATCAGAACACAAGTTCTTTTTATAGGTCTTGCTCGAGGGTGCTTTATGACTCCCCATGCATGGTTTCGTGACTTCCATTCTGGCAAATACTTTCCCGTTTCTTTCATCGCCGCTATTTTAGTTCAAACTATGGTTTTTATTTTGCTTTGCTATTTTGAGCTCTTTTAGTTTTCATGATTTTTATCTCAGAATCCTTTGTTTGCTCCTTTGCAGATCTTTGCAACATTGATATTTAGATGTGATATTCTTTTACTCCTGGGACCGATTGGCCTTTTGCTTCTATTGGTATGGCCATCTGTGCTCTCGCAATCGTTTGACCTATTTATAGTTGTAAATTGCCCCAGGATAAAGCTCTATTGAGTTTGCCCACTTTCTGCTCTTATTGTGGTATGCATTGTTTTGGCAAATATATTGTTTCTTGGTTTCTGCTCCATGTCCATGACAATGAAATCGATGGGGAAATAGCCATTACAGTTTTTTTTTTTTTGGTGTGTAAAAAATTTATTCCTGATGGAATAGTTCAAAGTTTGGACCATTGTCTTGGCTTGCCATAGACTAGGGAGATAGTTTGAACATGAGGCTGTGGAAATAGTCATCCTGTTTATGAAACAGTACAACTTTGAAATGACAGGAGATGTATCTTGAGCTACTTCATTTACTTTATTTACATGTTCTAATGGAAACAAAAAAAAAATCCAAGTAGAAATTTCATCTTGGGAGGTGGTAATTCTTATTCGACCTACCTCAATATGCAGTTGACTCTACCTGGTTTTGACCTTTGAGTCATGTCTTTTCCTGTTATTAAGTACATCTCAGTCTACCATTTGTTCTACCATAAGAATACATTTTTGTATGCATATAGGTAGAATCTAGATTTTTATGTTGGTGTGATGTAGGATTTGGGCTTGGGCTTGATTGGTTAAGGTGATGACAATTGCAACGCTATGTCCCAACTTCCAAATATATCACTGAACTACCCAACAAAAAATATGTCGGTGGATTGTAGATTCTGGGCTCTTGGCTTGTTGGGTCAGCTCCGAGGGCTTCAATACTTATCCAAAATTTAAATCCCATTTAACTTAAACAAAACAAAATATGCATATGGAATGCTGTTAAAGAATGTTAAGGAAGAGTTATTGCAAAATGAAGTATCTTAGAAATAGGACAAATTTCGGAAAAACAAAAGAAGAAAAAGATCTATGGTTAGTTCTTTGTGTATGCACACATGTGTGTGAATGTGTGCATGCAGTGAAAACAGTTTTTTGAGTGCTTCTGAAATTAAGTCTTTAAAAGAATCACTGAAGAAATAGATTTTTGGTGTGCAATAACCAAACAAAAGAAGAAGAAAAAGATCTATGGTTAGTGCTTTGTGTATGCGCGAGTGTGTGTGAATGTGTGCATGCAGTGAAAACAGTTTTTTGAGTACTTCTGAAACTAAGTCTTTAAAAGAATCACTGAATAAATAGATTTTTGGCGTTCAATACCCATGGTTTTGGAGAAATTCTGCTTTTAAAGTCTGAATTTTTCACTGCAAACCGAGTCCTCACGAATTAGCCAAAGGTAGGGGTGGCTATGGGCCATGCTGCGCATGGCCCTAGCTAGGCCCTAGCCCTAGGCTGGCACAGCCCTGACAGGACCGAAGCGGCCTTGCGACCAGGCCAAAGACTATAAAAGTTAAAAAAAAAAAAAGAGAAAAAAGGGTTGGGCTGGGCCAAACTGAGCCGGTCCTGGCCCTTGTTTTTCAGGGCCGGGCCAACCAGCCCGTTGCCTGCCCTAGCCAAAGCCTTGGTCGGTATTCTTCTAACGCAAAATTAATGTTTACACTATTGTCATGTAAACAAGATGTTTCGGTATATGTATTCTACCTTTTAGGTCTGAACTTAGTGAAAAATTAATATTGTTAGCTTTTAGGCCTGACATATTGATCTTATACAACTTTGATCCATATTCTTGTCAAATCATTGTGTGACCAAACCCATGAGGCTACTTTTGACTGTTTTCTGGATATATTTGTCGACCTACTTTTGGAATTTGTTATTTTGTGCGAGTCATGACTCAATTGTTGTAGACATCGTTATTTTCTTTATCATTGTATGGTGTGTGCTGGGTGTCAGTTTTTAGACTTAGCCACATGCCTCACTACATGCTCTTTTGTACAACAGACAAAAGCTATTTCAGTTACACAAGCATTACGTTGTGGCATTTCTACTGGCCTTTTGTGCATAGGTTATGCCTTTCCCTCCCTTCAAAATCTGGATCTTTTGGTGATTAATTTCTTTATGGTATGCTTAGCATGCTGCTATAACATACCTCACTTATTACAGGTTGCACAATTCTGGTCGATTCCTTTATGTGGCGAAGGATACTTTGGCCTGAAATGGAGGTTTTCTGGTTTAATTCTGTTCTCAATCGGAGTTCTGAGTGGGGTGTATCCTTATGCAATTGTCCTTGTACAGTTCTGTTTGTATTGATGATTATAAATTTAATCTAAATAATTATTCTTATACTGAGTAATACATAGTAATTAAGTAATATCAATCTGTGGATGTAGCATAGTAATTAAGTAATAATTATTATTATTATTTTTTCAAAAAAAAAATCTGTGGATGTAGCACTAGTTGTATCTGAACTAGATTTAAGCATGATTTCTTACTCCAACATTTTATTAGGGAGCAATTTATCGCTTCGTATGTGATGATTCTTTTGTAGCTTTTTCAATATTTTGCAATAGTGGCGATAGTGATCTTCTGGGCGTTCTCATGAGAAGTTCTAAAAGCTTCAGCATGCCAACTTTCTGCTTTGTAAGGGCACGTAAAAATTCCTGCTTAATTTGATGTTTTTCTTTGATTACACTTATTCTAGACGCATCCCTTCCACTGGTACTTTACATCAGCTCTTCCACGGTCATTACTTGCAGCATATCCTCTTTGCTTTGTAAGTTCTGGAAGCAAACTTTCTTGTTGACGAGATTCACACTATGATCCTCTTTTACATGCTGGTTCTTGCTGTAGTCTGAGAGAATACTGTTGTGGTTGCTGCCACAGTTATAAATGATTCTTTTGTACTATGAATGCAATATATGTTTATGCGCAAAATATGACACATTCAAACTTTTTATGATTGTGTAGAGATATGATAGGCTTTTCCCTACCCAGTGAATAGCTCAGAACTAGCTTCCTTGTTGGAACTTAAGGATCTTTGCATTTTTGGAGGGTTTTGTGGAAATGCTTGAATTGCTTGCATGTGAAATCCATAAGCTGGTTTGCCTTGATACGAGTTGTGGTATGAAGGTTTTCTTTGGAAGCTATTTTTTTTTTTTAATTTATCAGTGGAAGTATAACTAATGATAGCTTCATTCATAGTAAATATATTTGGCTCAGCTTATTTCACTTTGTCAACTACAACATACAGCTGATGTTTTATTATTTGGTTTTATTACTATTTGATCATGTTATTATGTATTAAATTTCAAATGATCATATTATTATTTGCATCCAATTCCACATTCAAAAAAATCATTTGCATCCAATTCTATATGTTCAACTTTTCAATTTTAAATCTGCTAGATTTTTGCTTCATTATGAAATAAAAAGGAGGTGCTGAAATTATATGACTTTGGAGTCTCGAACATTTTTTTAGACAAAGTGGACAATAGCACCTGTAACTACCATTTCTCACTTTTAACTTCGAAAATCCATGATTTGCTTAACCTTTGTACTTGTGTTTGTGTGTATTCCTCATCCTGATATCTCTGGTTTGCCTTGATATGAGTTGTGGTGTGAAGGTTTTCTTTAGAAGCTATTTTTTTTTTTAAATTTCTCAGTGGAAGTATAACTAATGATAGCTTCATTCATAGTACATATATTTGGCTCAGCTTATTTCACTTTGTCAACTACAACATACAGTTGATGTTTCATTATTTGGATTTATTACTATTTGATCATGTTATTATGTATTAAATTTCAAATGATCATATTCTTATTTGCACCCAATTCCACGTTCAAAAAAATCATTTGCATCCAATTCAATATGTTCAACTCTTCAATTTTAAATCTGCTAGATTTTTGCTTCATTATGAAATAAAAAGTAGGTGCTGAAATTATATGACTTGGAGTCTCGAACTTTCTTTTAGACAAAGTGGATGGTAGCACTTGAAACTACCATTTTCCACTTTTAACTTTGAAAATCCATGATTTGCTTAACCTTTGTGCATGTGTTTGTGTGCACTCCTCATCCTGATATCTCTGGAACCTCTTAGCATGACTGTTCTCATTGGTCTCTTTGTGTTCTGTGCATTTTTAAATTTCCTTATAGAGGAAAAAACTTGCTTCAACGTGTATATCTGGTATGCAAGTAATGAAATCAAATGGAAAGTTCGAACATGATTATGCCCATTATACATACCTTTGTGACGTTAGGCAGCCAGTTTTTACTGGTAGTGTGTCCCAGGATTCTGGTGCGACCACAGAATTTGTATGTTGTTTTCCTATAAAATTAGGCAGTAGTATTTGATATTAGTGAGCAAACTCTTGTGATATTATTTCTTGTTCATTTTACCTGGTTACTTGTGATGTTTCTGACATGATTTTTTTAATCATTAGTTGGGGTTCCTGGTGGATAAGAGGATGTTACAGTATACTCTTCCAGTTGCTTCGTTTGTTCTTATTTACTCAAAACTTCCACACAAGGTATTTAACTTATTTGTGACTTCCAGCAATGTTTTTTCTTGACATGTTGATGGGTATATAGTTGGTCGGATTGGAACCCAATACGTCACGTTGTAGCTCCGCCACCCTGACTCACAGGCCTCCCGCTTATTGCTACTTCCACAGTATGTTTTCTAATCTGTCTATTAACAAGAGAGCTTTTGCCATTATTATTTGTCCTTTCATGTCTCAGGAGCTCCGGTTCATAATGGGTGCAATTCCAATGCTCAATTTATCAGCAGCAGTTGCAATTAATCGGATGTATGTGCTAGATTATGGCTATTGTTATTCAAGTATGCAAAGTACTTCATTTTGTATGCTAGATTATGGCTATTGTTATTCAAAAATGCAAATTACTTCGTTCATTGTTACTTTCACTAAAGTATCCTCTTCTTAACAAACATGTAATTAACTTTCTGAGAATTTTGGCATGTAAATGAGCTGGTAGAATTAGGCCCATAAAATACTGTATTTATGCTCCACATAAATCCTGCTTACTTATGCTACATATAAATACTTTCTTATGATTGATGTCTTACAATCTTGCGTTATTTTTCTATTCCATTGACTCAATTTGCTTAGAAGATCAACATATTAGTTGTTACCTAGCTGGCTTTGCGAGTCTGAGTAGCTCGTTGAGTCTCCGAATCCCCAAAAGAGGAAAAAAAGGAATATTGCCCAGAAAATTTGGGTAAATTGAAGAAAATAAAAACGAAGATAAAATGTATTTCTAGGGGAAAAAAGAAAAAAGTTACAGATACTTTAAGCAATCAGGTCGGCTTAATGGATTCAATTGTGGTTCCTGGGGCCCGGTCATTACCCACCTGCAATATGTCAATGACACCACAGTATTCCTTGGCGCGTCGCATCCAGAGCTGGAACCCCTTCGCCTTTTCCTCAAATGTTTCGATCTGCTGTGGGTTTCAAAGTTAACATGGCCAAATCTAAGGTGATTGGGGTGGCCAGGGATTTGCAAGACACATGTATGCCTTTGGGCCTTGGCAAACCCAAGAAGAGACAGTGGTCTAACGTCATCGACAAAGTAGGCCGTTGATTGGCAGGATGGAAAGGTCTTTTTCTCTCATTAGCTGGCAGGGTTACTCTCATCAAGGCCACACTATTTAATATCCCTATCTACCTTATGTCCATGTTCCATGTGCCTGTGGCGGTCACCACCTGATTGGAGCAATTGATGAGAAACTTCCTATAGGCAGGCGATGAGGAAGTATATGCCAGGCCAAACAGTTAGGGGGGTCACGGTATCTGGCAATTAAGGAAACACAACACTGCGTTGCTGGGAAAATGGTGGTGGAGATTGGCGACCCAAGGGAATCAACTTTGGATTCATGTTAACTGTAGATAATATCGTCTTGACCCATCTGCCTGGTTGCCCATAGGCAGACCTTCCAGCAGGGCTTCCAGGGCCTGGAAATCCTTTTTAACCTCTTTCAACCTCTTGCATAGTCTCATTAGATTTCATCCCCAGGAGGGGATTCGGATATGCTTCTGGTCCGACTTATGGTAGGCCATACCCCCCTCAAGGACCTCTTTCCCTCTTTTCTCTCTAACTTTAAACCAAAACTCTATAGTAGCTGAAGAAATGCCTCCTACGGGTCACTCGAGAACTTGGAACCCCTCATTCAGAAGAGCCCTCACTGACTCTGAAACAGCCGAATTCCTCAAATCTTTCTGCCCTTCTCCACTCAGCCTTTCTTGCCCTCAATGGCCTTGACCAAATTATCTGGAGCAGCTCACCTTCGGGATCCTTCTCTGTGTCCACTTTCTACAAAAAGCTGCTCATGCCACCTACCTTCCCCCTCCCACTTCTATTGTCGCTTCAATGTTCAGCTGACAGCAGGTCACCTTGCCGTCCATTCTGGCTCTTTTTCGTTTGACTCAATCGACTCCTTGGCCCAAAGCCGATAGGATCCTGTGGAAAGCCTCAATAACAGCTACCATTGGGGTCATCTGGATTGAAAGAAATAGTAGAATTTTCAAAGGTGAGAAGTGTTCAATGGCTGCTCTCATTGACAACATCGTCGGTCAGCTTCTGCGCTACCAACCACAAAAGGTTCAAAGCCTATCCTTCATCAGCTTTCCTCCAAAATTGGCCAGCCTTGTTCCACACCAGAACACCGTGTAACCCTGAGGTTCACCGCTAGTCCCCACCTCCTTAGGGACAGGCTGAGCTGAACTTCGGTGGTTGCTCCCTTGGCAACCCTGGCCTGGCAGGCATCAGTGGCATCCTCAGGGACCACAACGGACATGTCCTCGCCTCCTACTCCAAGCATATCGGTCACGCTGAACCCCAGTCTGCAGAGTCCTTGGCCCTCCTGGAAGGCCTCAAACACTTTAATCCCCTTTGAAGCCAGCTGTTGATCAGAGGGAGAGGCAAAGAATGTTATTACTTAGGCCTCAGGCTCATGTCCTTGCCCCTGGTCTCTCACCCAGGTTTTTGACGAAATCACTCATATTTGTAAGGGATATGGTTGTCTCATGGAGGCATGCCTGGCGGGAGTCCAACGCTGAGGCGGACACCATCGCTAAAGATGGAGCACACAACAGTCCCACTTGATTGTTTGGGATACTCAGTCTTGAGAAGACTTTTGTATCATTCTGTTTATATCTATAGGGCAACCTTATGAGGTTTGGCCCATTTTTGGTATAGGGTTCCCATTCGGTGGGATGCGTATTTTTTGGGTTGTTGCTCCCGGCTTGTTGGTATCTATTCTCATCTTGAAACTCCCTTACCTTAACTAATAGAACAGTTAACAGTTTCAAAAGAAAAAAGGAACTTCAGGTTACAAACAGTTATTTGTCTGTTTCAATAATTGTTAAACATTCAAGGCCCAATTGAATCATTATTGAATGTATACTACAAGAGTGCAAATGTGCAATTACATTAAGCATATAACAAAATTGTGAGGCTTGTTGGCTCCAAGTGTTCCAAATTTCTTTATTTGTGCAAATAGTATATACATATTATTAGAAAAAACTACATATTTGGAAAAGAAAAAACATATTCTTGCAGTTGCTTGACAAAAGAAAACCAGATCGATGTAAAATAGACCCTAGATTGATGTCGACCTAGAGTTTTGAAGAAAACAAGCCACATCTAAATCTATCATATATATAATATCACATTGAGAAAAAATAAAAATTATGAAATAGAAAGATTGTAAATCAATTGCCAATTGTAGATGTTACTCAATCTTTGCCAAATCGAAGCCCCAATGTTCTGCTCAATTCGAGGTTTGCGGACTCCTTGAGAAACTCAAAGCCTCCAAATCAAATACTTTGTGATCCTTGTTTTTGTTGAAGTTTTTCTGAAAATTGACTGAAGCAAGGGATAGAGAGTTGCAACCTATGTCATCTTTCTGAGGCCTTAATACCCCCCCAATGGCGGCAAAAGAATGAATGTTGTTTTCTTTTTTCTTTTTCTTTTCTTTTCTCTCTTTTCTTTTTTTTTGGCCTAAGGGCAAATAGAGCCTTGATATCATTCAATCTCACTAAATTTTACTTGGCCAGTTGGGCGAGTCCAATGTGGAACTTCTCAGGCCCTTACAGATACTGGAACAGTTCAGGTCGGTGCCCTGGGACACCTGGTTCGTGCCCATTAGGACCTGCCTGTTCTGAGTGAGTTGGGGTGATTCAGAGCCTGAGTAATTGAGTTTTCAAACACTGCCATTAAGTACAAACATGTTGATTTATCTAAATGTGGTATACAAGTATATGTTTATATAAATTAAGGTAAGAACTGAAAATATCAAAAAAGATATTTGTGTCCAAAGTTGGTTCCAACTCATAATTTCCTTTCAATTCCTTGCAGCTACAACAACAGAAGAAAGGGTTCATGGAAGTGGGTTTATTTGATAACAATCTTGTTGCTTCTTGTCAGGTTAGCTCTGCATTTATTGTACAGAGTGTGATTCTTGCAGTCTACATGCATTTTCCTTTTTGTCTGCTAATGCTGCTACTGTTTCATTAGTCTAGGTTGCACTACTATAACAAGCATGGCTTCCTATGAGAACTATCCAAGTGCGTATGCTTTGAAACTGTTGCATCAAAGAGGTAAGATCGTTGTCTAGCATCTCTGTTATTTTTAGTCCGGTAAAATGAGGGAACTAAATCTATTAAATACCATGAGGCAGAATGCTGAAAATACCCCTATGGGTATATAATGGACATCTTTGTAAATTGATTTATAAAAGAATAAACAACGGTCGAAATGCCCACTGGAAGTTACTTCAACACTCTTTCAGTATACGCACTTTTAAGGTTCTTTTGTTTCTGTTGGTCTTTTATTCTATAATTAAGACAATTGAGAATGGACATTATTGTACAGCTGAGTCTATGCTAATGGACTTTCTCTGTCCCTTACTTTTTTTGGGATTGTAGTAACTAAATTTTAATGAACACAGTACATACTAAAATTTCCATAACTACTGTTAACTTTATTCTCTCCAAAAATTGAGTTTAACTTGAAAGCCGTGCACAACATTACAACAATGAAATATTAATTTAGAAATAAGTGCATATCTCACCAGTCTCCTTATTGCACTATTTATTTGCCTCATAGAGTAATTTGGCGATAAAATTGTATAACTGAATGGTTCTCTCATTCGTGGTTCACAATAGCTAGTTGTTCTCCTTTACAGGTCTTGATCCCAATCAAACTTTGGATCAATGGGTTCATATTGATACATTTGCAGCAATAAATGGAATCTCTCGCTTTTGTGAGAATAATTTCCCATGGAGGTAATCTTCTTGGTCTATTTTATTGGTAACGACTCTGTGTATATGTAAACCCCAAACAAGAACCGGCAACAATGCAATTTGTAATAAGAGGAAAATCTGTCGACTTTATAAATCGTGAGGGTTCAAGTCCCTCTATCTCCAATTAAAGAAGGGCCTGGTTTACTCCCTAATCATTCATTCTCCCCACTTGGCAATAGTGAAAGTTACCCTTTATAACAATTTAATTGAGTTTTACATCTTTCCAGATGCTTGTTCTAACCTTTGAATTTAAACATGCAACTTATTTCCAAATTAGTGATTTGTACAGTAATGTGTAGTTATCTCGGAAGTCATGATGCCTACAAGGGAAGCTTAGGTTCCTTTACCGGGAAAATATAACTCAAGAATTTAGGGTTTTGGCATCGAACATGTCTCAGATGTTCGCGACATCTACTATTCAAAAGTCAGACTCTGTGACATGTTCGACATTGGCATGGCACAATTGGAACTTGAATCAGCCTCCAGGAAAGCTGTTTCATGAAAAATAATAGGCAGAATATCTTATCCAAAATTGTAGAAATGCCAGAATACCATTGTGGATAGAGATTCAAATGTTGGTCTTTGTTATATCAGTTATGGTTTTATGCATTACCATTAGTTTTCTGCTTAATTGGTGGGCCTTCAATCTTGTATTTGACGTAGTAGGTATTCCAAAGAAGAAGGAATCACCATCCAAGAATTCCGCTCTCGGAATTTTACATACCTATTGAGGTAGGCCTCTTCTAATGTCCAGCATTTTACGCATCCTCAGTACTTGGAAGGAAATTTTCTTTTCTAGTGTTGCAATAAGTTTCATCAATAGGAAAGCTAGCTAGCGACCCTGCAGAGAAAACGATGCTAGCTGCTTCATATTCCAGGCATTTCGAGCTTTGCTAAATTAACGTCCCATAAAAGAGTCGAAGAAATTATGATTATATGGGAAATTTATGGATTGTCTTATTTTCAATTGAAATATTCTTCTGTGTTATAATTTCATCTGTTTCTATATTGTATATCAGTGAGCATCGGAATATTCCAGGGTATGCCTGTTTATTTTCTGTGAGTGGATTTTCAAGGGTCCAAATTCAACTAACATTCCCTCCCTTTCAACTGGTGCAAATCTTATGCTTCTTTTTTTTTTCCTTATTCATATATGCAAATAATTATGAAAAAACTCATTCTGATACTTTTATATTTAATTGTGTTGATTATTAGAACAGGTGAAGGAGCCAAAAGTTTTTGTTCATGGAAATATGAGAAGCCAAAATTGGCAGCATAAAGACTGGCCTGGCTGTGAGTAAATGTAGGAAGGCCCCTGTTCTTGAGGGCCATGGGGGTCCACCTCTTCTGGCGTTTGTTTATGTTGAAGTTTTCAATTTTGATCGGTAGTTTGGATTCAAATGAACATGTTCACTAAACATAAAAATGTTGTGTTCTGTAGTTAATATAATAATATCCAATGTGTTGCTAGGACATGATTGCCACCATCTAGACATTCGTTCCCCCCCCCCTCCTTCTGGCTTTACTGTTTATCTATCAGGTTGTTCATATTCTTGAAATCAAGTAGTTTCTACTCATGATGCAAGATGTAAATCCAAGTTGGGATTTAAACTCATTAGTAAAATGGAGAGGGAAAATTGTTAGATAATGCGATTCAACATGTACTAATTTCCAACTAGGAAAACGCTATATTGAGATGGGGATCGTGATCTAATCATTGAGGCCAATAAAAGGAGTTCCGGGCTGTCTTACATGACCATTTTCCGACGTCCAAAGTAGAGCACTAATTAGTAGCATTTTAATTTGCAAATAACTTAAATATTCACTGGTTTGTATATCAAACAAAGGCCTCAAATGAGCAGGAAAGAAAATTTACTCTCTAAAAGGGATTTGGAGGTGGTAACACCAATGCGATGAATTCCCCCCCCCCCCACATAAAATGGAGAGTTAAGAGTTTTTATACGTGTTGGAATCTGGTTGTCTATTCTTGGATCATGATACATGCCAAAAGATTATTTTACTTTCAGGAATGGGATGTACGTTTGCTCCCTCAAGTAAAATGCCATCTAAAATCAAAAATCAATTTTAGGACTTGAGGATGTAACCTCTTCAACCCATAGAATAACCTCAATAAATAAAAAATCCTATTTGTACCCTCTACGAACTTGAAAAATAGTAATATATTGAGATTGAATAGATGCCATCCAATTTTTAGATAAGGAGATCTAAGTGTTAGAAAATTCAAATTTCAATCTTTTTGAAAAAATTCATCTACTAATTCTTGAGTCGTTCTCAAAATTTCATATTTAAAAAATGCTGCCAAGTCTGGCTTCTAACGAGGGAGTAGAAATAAACTATGATCCAATGCAACATAGTATACATGCTACAGTATTTTTGAAGTCCCCGCTTCCCCGCTTCCTACAGCTTCCAAAATAGCAATGTAGTGTCTTCCATAGTCCTCATTAGAAACTGCCACTCCGAAAGTTCATAGAAGATGCATCGTCTTCCTCCGCATCAAACACGCCCAAGACAGAGGCAGGAAGCTCACTCAGCCCCTCTTGTGGAGTACAGAGAAGGGGTGGGGATTGTACGATTGTGACAATAGAAAGGGTCATCACCATTAATCAAATGATGAAGTTTCTATAATGCTTAGGTTTTATGAAGACAAAATAAAGCTTTATCTGAAATCCTCATCTCCATCCGAAAAGCACTTTCAGCAATAAAAATCTCTATAATGGCTCTAAAATCAATTTTCAACACCAACAATAAAATTTGAAACAAAAAAAATAGTACAAAATCTTACGGATCTATGAGCACTTATTTTTAGAGCGAAATGAATGGCCTAGATAATTTGTTACAAAATACACTATTTTTAGATCTTTAATTCCTAAATTTTTTTACAAAGATAATGTTCAAGCTGAGATGATCGATATAAAAGTCTTTCAATACTTGAATTTTAATTTTCATAATACTATGAAGTGAGGCTTTACTTTTCAAACCATTTTCCAATATGATGAACGATCGTCTACAAAGATTGAACCCACAAGATGTCATGAGCCTATGGTACGTCTCCTCTCTTCACTCCATCCATGTAACTTGTACGGTGATAGATACTGATGCCTAGTTACCTTTCAGATTTTTATGGTCATATGGATCCCACTGTACTTTCCCCGCCACGAATATCTCAAAGCCAAAGTATAAAGAAAATACAAAAGCCGAGAAAAAAAAAGCAGATATTCCCTTAGATTAGGGTTTCTCTCTCTATAAAGGGATCACTGTGTAACGATATACCCCTCTCTCTCACACACCTGTGAAACTCTTTCTCTCTCTTGGTTCGTAAAGTTCTCTGCCTTTGTAGGAAGATGGAGCTGACGTTCATCATGATCAAGCCTGATGGTGTTCAGAGAGGCCTCGTATTGCATCTATCCCTGTTTCCTTTTCCTTTCTTTTCCTTCTTCCTGATAAGCCTGTTGGTTTCTTGTTTAGACAAAGTCTCACTATTTTTAGGGTTTATGCCTTCTTCTTCGGTTGGACTGGAAAGGGCTATTCAGTCTCTGCAAAAAAAAAGAAAAAAAAAAAAGCTGTCTATTCTCTTCTTCTGTTTCCTAATTTCTTCTACTTTTTGGGGACTGTACTTGTTTGGTTCCTAATTTTGTTCTAGCATTACATGATTCATGAACTCTGTGATGTTGTTGAGTTTTTTTCCACTGATCAAAGGTTGATTAAGGTTTGAATTTGAAATGAATGTATTTTTACTGGAAAGAAGAATCTTTTAGCCTTTTATTAAGCGATCCTGCTGTTTTTGTAGATCAAATACGTCTCTCAAACAATGTGAAAAGGCTAGTAAGCTGGCATTTTTGTTATATTTATGAAAAGCAGTTAGCTTTATTGAGTTGGGTTCCATGCAAAATGAAAAATGAGCGTTACCTCCTTCATTTCTATTGGTTTTTACTTGCTTCCTCATTCAAACAAACTTGCTCGTGTTTGAGTAGTCTGATGGACATTGTCACTTGATCAGATTTATAAGTTCTTGTTCTTGGAGACGAGATTTAAAATTTTTTGCATCAACCTTGAAATTCAGGAATCCATTACTGACATTGAGAGAAATAAATGTATATTTTTACTATTTTGCTTTGTTTCTTGACTCTGTCACTCTTTCGTATTATTTTTCCATTTTTAATGAGCATAATTGATTTTTTTTTTTCTATTTCCTATATTGGAAAATCTGAGCAGCCTATGCCATATTATGTAAATTCTGAGCCTGTGTCTATTGTGCTTCAGGTTGGTGAGATCATTGCCAGGTTTGAGAAGAAAGGTTTCTCCCTTAAAGGTGAAGCTTTTATGCTTTAATTGAAACTTTGTCCTTCTGGGATTGCCCAGTACTTTGTTGTTGGGTTCTTATTGCCCCGAGGGGCCTAAACTGAATTTGAATGTTTTTTCCCTTAATGTAGGCCTGAAGCTCTTAAGTGTTGAGCGTCCTTTTGCTGAGAAGCACTATGAGGATCTCTCTGCGAAACCCTTCTTTAATGGGCTTGTTGATTATATCATTTCTGGCCCTGTGGTTGCCATGGTTTGGGAGGGCAAGAGTGTGGTTTCGACTGGTAGGACGATCATTGGAGCCACAAACCCCTTGGCTTCGGCACCTGGAACCATTCGTGGTGACTTTGCAATTGATATTGGCAGGTAAAGTAATTGATTTTGTCATCGAAAGATTATATGATGTTTAATGCTTGTTATCTTCTGCTTTGAAAGTTTAATTTTGATTTGTCATGAAATCATGGGATTGAGATTTGTAGCATTAGTTTTATTACATCATTTTGTGTGGGCTGTTTGGTTTAGAACTTGTGCTTCTTGATGAGATGATTTTGAAAATTTAAAAGGGGAATTACTAGTTGACTAGAGAGAAAGGGCTGAAAGGAAAAGAAAAGAAATGTCGATCTTACATATGAAGGAAGTAGCATGAAAGGAATGTGCATGATGAGAACTGCATGTGCATCGTTGTTTGAATTGCTTGTGGTTCTAAATCTTTAGTAGAGATTGAGGAAGATATCATACAAAGAATTAGAGCGAGGTGGGTGAAGTGCATATGGCATCCGGAATTTTATATGATCACCACATACCATTGAGATTGAAGGGGCGGTTTTATAGGACGGTTGTAAGACTAGCCATGCTTTATAAGGACGAAATGTTGGGCGGTCAAGAAACAACATATCTATAAGATGAGCGTCTCTAAGATGAGGATGTTGAAATGGACGAGTGGCAAGGCAAGAAAGGATAGAATTTTGGAATGAATACATACAAGAGAACTTGGGTGTGGCTTCAATAGACGATAATATGAGAGAAAGTGGACTTAGATCAGCTGGCCATGTGTGGTGTAGACCTAATACAACATTGGTCAGGAGGTGGGATTTGGTTGTAGAAGGCTCTAAAAGGGCAAAGGGAAGGCCCAAAAGGACATGAATAAGAGTAGTGAGAAAAAATAGTGACTTTTGGTCTTATTGAGGGGTATGATCTTTGATATAGAACAATGGTGGAACATGATTCCTAATCCGTGATAATTGGGATAAAGCTTGGATGATGATGATGATGATGATGATGGTACTAAATATTGAGTTTGACCATCATTGATTAATTTGTTCTTAATTGACAAAAATTTATTGTAATTAGTTAAAATTACTTGTATTGCTGATCCCTGCTAATTGGGATAAAGCTTGGATGATGATGATGGTACTAAATCTCGAGTTTGACCGTCACTGATTAATTTGTTCTTAATTGACAAAAATTTATTGTAATTAGTTAAAATTACATATGTTGCTGAGAAGCATATTTTTTAAACCAATTTTGTACCGCATTACTTGTCATTAAGGCCCTAGTTTGGCACATACAGATGAAACATTGTTAATTGAAGAAAAAGAAAATCACATGTAGTTGAAGTTTACTTTCTAACATTACATACTTGTTACTCACATGTGGATCATAGCTTATTGGATGTTTTAGGGCACATACGCTTTGATGGGTGTCTCGGTTAGGTTAACCTTCAAATGAGTGGCGATATGAACCCGAGATGTAAATATCAACCAATCATATGAGAAGCCTGAGGCATGGGAATAACATTATCAAACACTGAATTGGTTTCATCGAACCAGATATTTTATTGTTCCTCTGTTCAGATGGGTTAAGGTGATCAACCAAAAAGTGTAAATTGGATTAAATAGCTAAACTATAAAATAAGGGGAATAAAATGTTGAGTTGTAATATAGAAAAAGTAAGAAGTTGTAATATCTTGGCCTTCCCTTTACTCAAAGTGACGTATTTATGAATGTAAAAAATATGAGGAATGGGGCTCTGCGGCTATGTGCTTGTTTTTTGAGATCGGATTTTTTTTAACATTGACGTTTTAATGCTAGTCTTGCTCCTACTAACAGTTGTTTAAAATTTAGTAGTATTGGGGATTTGTGGTTGTGTTCATGGGATCACTGCCAGATAGGTATGAGGTTATTTCTCCTCTTTATGCAGTTGAATAAGTTTTATTTGCATTTTTTTTATTAATCTAGATTGACAGCCTAAAGATTAAGCTTTTTGGTTAGAAGAGCTGCTTGCGATTATAGCTCAAATAAAGATGAATCAATGAATGGATTGACAATCTGGCTCTCTCACACTGGTGAATCATATCGCTTCCCATTAAAAGGCCGACTATTGAGCTTTCCTTTTGTAACTTTTCTTTATTGATGGACAATGATAAAAATTGGCTTTTTATGCAATCTGTGATGAATCAAGGGTGTTAAGTAGTCATCCCGTGTTCCATAGAATCTAACGTAGTGGTCATTTGTGGGCAGGAATGTGATTCATGGGAGTGACTCGGTGGAGAGCGCAAAGAAGGAGATCGCTTTGTGGTTCCCTGAGGGAGTCGTTGCCTGGCAGAGCGCTGTTCATGCCTGGATCTATGAGTAAACTTCATATTAATTCTAGATATCTAATTGCTACTGAATGTTGCTTGCCCTGTTTTGAACAATAATTATTGGCTTAGAATAGAAGCCTTTGATTATGTGAGATTAAGCAAAACATCATTATTGGCAGAAGCCTTTTTGAGTATGAGAGATTTTCCATGAATATTTTGATTTAATGTCACATTTCTTCTACTACAGTTTCTGTTTGACATCTTATATAAACTGTCTCAAAAAATATTGTGATGACTTCAAAATTTATTTTTATTTTTAATTATAATGTTTTAAACTCTAAAAATAGTTAAAATCAAGTATATCTATAGACACATGAAAATCTTAAAAATGGATGGTCTAGATAATGTGCTAAAAGATGTTGTATTCTTTGAGACTCGGTTTTTTATTTTTTGATTTTTTTATATTTATTTATTTTGATATCGAGATGATTAATTGGAGGGTTTTTTTATGTCATTTTGATGGAATTTTGAGGTACACTTTAATTCTGAAGGTTGCAACTTTATATAAAACTTTTTCTTGTAAACAAGGGGAATTTGTCAAATTACTCGTAGCTTTTCAACAATTTAACACTTGGCCTTTCCAATTATTCCAATCCATGATGTGCATTTCGATTGGTATTTTGAAATTAATTAAAAAAATATAGGTAAAATATTAAATTTGTGATGGGTATTTTGATATTAATTCAAAACATACGGGAAAATGTTAAATAGTTGAACTCTTATGTGTATTTTGATAAAGGGTAATGATCCTATGAGACCTACATATGTGTATGATTTTAAAGGATTATCATTAAATTTGACGCATATCTTTAAAAAAGTTAAGTTTCACATCCATGTGATAATTTTTTATAGATCTGTATCAAATTTATTGGTGATCTTTGGGGTCTTATACACATGGTGTGGGAGGTTCTCATAGGATCATTACTCTTTGATAAATTTTCTGAAAAATGCATTTATTTTCAAAATAGGATCTCACTTTCGGTTTCACACATTGTGTAAACCCTAAGCGAGAGCATGCATATATCCATTGTAATTTATATTATTTAATTTTTTCACATGAGAATATAGGAGGGATATGAGGATTTCATTTTCAATATATTAAAACAAAGGGTCCGCAAAATGTTGAAGGCAAACATGTTGTCTAAATAAATGAATACGATAGCAAATGTTTTAACATAGCTATAATTCCTCCTTATGTTGGGTGATCTTTATTTAGATTTTGGGATGAAGTTTCTATAGGAACTAGGCTTTTTGAAAACAAAATAAACCCTCCCTATAAATCCTTGTTTGGAAAGCACTTTTGGCAACGAAATCTCCATGGATCTAAATCAATTTCCAATATTGAAAATAAAATTTGGAACTCTCAAAATGATACATGAACACTTAATTTTAGGGTGAAATGGACGGTCTAAATAATTTGTTAGAATATTATTTTTAGAGTTTAAAATCTTAATTTTTTTTACATCTAACAAATCGAGATGATTGATGTAAAGGTTTTTTTTCCGGTACTTGAAATGTAATTTTTGATGAATTATGAGGTAAGGCTTTACTTAATTTGATAGACCTGCAGCCCTATCAAACTATTTTCTTTTATGGTATTTTTGTTTTACAGCTCATTAGCAGCAAGTCGCCCTTTTTCAAGGGCCTATTGTTTGGGGAGTTTGTCCATGGATTAACCAATTCTACCTGTCTTAATGAGAATATTCTCTTAAATATATGCAATTTCTTATCCTTAATTTCTTGAACTAAACTTATGAAATTCAGGGTAATAAACTTCAAATTCTTTGAAAAATATTTGATAGGGCTGCAGCCATATCAAAATTAAAGCCTTGCCTCGAAACGTGCCAAAATTTGCAGTTTTAGTGTTAGAAAATTTTCAAATCAATCATTTCGGCCTTAACCATTATGGTTATGAAAAAAAAATTAAGATTTTAAGCTCTAATAATAATATATATTATAACACATTATATAAACCGTCTATTATATAAAAATAATCCCCATTTTTTATATTTTACCTTGAGGTCTCTTTTCTTGTCAGCAGTCTCCTTTTTAACCAACGTCTACCATCGAGCTTGTAGGTGAGATATACTGAGCCTAGTAGATACTGAGTGCGAACGTATTAGTTTCTTCTTCTTTTCTTTAGTTTCTAAGTTTGTGAAGTATATAATCTCAGTTTTTCAGATATACATCAGCATATATTCAATTTATTGTATCTGATTTTTTAGGAAATAATAATGCCTGATGCATCCTTTATAAATCTGTAATTTTTTAAAAAATAATCAACAAAAGTTTTATAAAAGGAAAAAGTTTACATAGAGTGAGACCTTGAACAATCAAATTAGAGTCCGCCTAAAAAATTTCACTAGAACAGGTTGTTTTAATGCCCAAATATCCTCAAATTGATCATCTCGACATCAAGATGCATGGACATGAGAAAAAACTGGATTTCAAGTTTTGAAAATAGTGGATCTTGTAACACATTCTTGGGCTGTAAATTTTCAAGATTTTTAAGGTTTCATAAATCTACTCGATTTACATTATTTTTTAAGCTTTAAATTTTATAATTAAAGATAAAAATATATTTAAAGCTATCACAAAAATTTCTAGTATTGAAACCACATTTCTTGACACTGTTTGAAGGTGCGCTTTACTTTTGGTTGTTTAGAGTCTCGGCTCTATACAAACCGCACCCTATATATAAAAAAAAGTATGCCTTTATTATGCCCGCACCAGTTGAGAGTAATATGTTTATAGCGTATACGTATCATCCTCATCCCAATAGTGGTTAATGATACGAGAAAATCATGTTGGGACACTATCTTCTCCTTTTTTTAATATTGTATGAATATATTTTTTTGCAAGTATTACAATGACCCCACCCCTTAATTGCTCATTTATCTGGCAATGACAACTCCGGGCGGCAGGAGAATACCGTGACCTATACAACATTTTTATTATTTGATAGTGCACATCAAAAACCCAACAAGCTCCGAGAGAGAGACAAAACATCCGATATTGGACAATTTTAAAAACAAAAAAAAGTTGCTGCAGGGGTGCTCATTGTAGTTTTCACAAAAAATCATCATCATCGTCAAAGTATTTTTTCAATTATTTTAAATCGGCTACATAAATTTTGGTCCCCAATTATGCTCTATTTAGGATCTCTAAGTGAAGCTATTAATCCAAAAAAATAGAGAGAATAAAGAAGATGTCACGCACAGAATTAGAGCTGGGTGCGTAAAATAAAGATATGCAAGAGAAAATATGAGATGGGACAAGAGTTTTGAGAGAAAAAAATTATGATAGTGGAGAAGAACATGATAGGTGTTTAGAGGAAAAATGTGAAAAGATGGAAAAACAAGTCGAGTTTTTAAAGAGAGAAAATGAGATAGAACTTGAAAAATTAGGCTTTTAGAGACGTGACAAAAGGGGTGATAAGAAATCATATAAAGAGATCATGCAAGATGAGAAAAAATGAGACTTGGAATTTGTTTTCAAAAGAGGGCAAAATAGTCCATTTACCTCTTTATATTAAAAAAAGGAAAAAAAAAAAAGAAAAAGAATTTAGTAAGGCTTTTTTTATAAAAACCCTAAAAATACATTTAAGGGTATTTTAGTTCTTTTTTATAAAAAAGGAACAGTTAGCATACGGATGCATCCATAATTGTAGAGATAAAGTACACCTTCAAATTTTATCATGGTACATAATTTTGATGTAAAACGTTTTAAGGATTATCTCGAAATCTATTTTTATATCTAATTATAAAATTTTAAATTTAAAAAATGGTTAAAATCAAATAAATCTACAAACATAAAAATCTTGACAATGGACAGTGTAGATAATATGTTGCAAAATGTACTATTTATGAGACTTAAAATCTTTTTATTTTTTATAGTCATACATCTCAATATCGAGATGATCAATCAAAAAGTCTTTCACCATTAAAACTACTTTTTCCGATGGATTTTTTAAGTACATCCATAGTTCTACATTATAAGCTTCCATCCTTATATAAACTTTTTCCTTATAAGAAGCATTTATTGTTTAGGGGTACTTTGCTTATTTTGTTTAAAATATTTTAATTAAAAGGAACAAAAATGGAAAGTTAGGATACTTCGTCATATTTTACTTTTAATTTTTATACAACTAGGATTAATTTGAACTTTTGGGCATCCATAGCTCTCAATTAGGTACACAAACAATATAAAAAAAAATGCAAAAACTAAACAGACCAAATACTCGTGCATTTTTTTTTTGTGTTGATATGGTGCAAAAACCTTCAACGAATTCACATAATTTGAATGCTGGGAAAAACCTAAAATTGTGGCCATCCATGCTTTTCCCTTGGTTGCAAGGTCGAGCGTCCACACTGGGCTCCCCCTTTCGTCATGGCATTTATAAACCAAATATTATGGAAACCGGAAATTGTACAATTTAACATGTTTTAGAAAATGCACAACTTGCTTCTTAATTGTCGGAGGCAAAATCTAAATCCGAATGAAAGTGACATTGAAACTCCTCCAAGCTTGCAAAGCATGAGCTCGTAGCAAGGGGAAGTCACCTTTTTCTTTGATCAGCTGCCCATGATCAAAGCACCTCCACATACAAAACCCCGTGTTTACGAAAGAAGCATTGATGGATTAGATCGTTAGACGTAATGCATGGTGTTGATCTCACATTTCATAAATCTCAAATGAGAGAATTCCGAAATCACAAAGATGATCGATTGACATCGGAAGCACCCCATTAAAGGGAAAAGATATGACAAACAAAAAAGAACACTCGAAAAGAAAATAAGTGCATAGCTACAAGTAGCCTCCTCACTACCGAGCGAGCAATCTGAATGAGGGCATGTCTTCTAATCGGGTTATGTCTTCAGGAACTAACTCTCTTTCCAGTTGCAACCGTGTGGATTTCATTACAGACTGTAATTAGAGAAAACAGGAAAAGTAAAATCAAAACCAAAATCATCATCATTGTTAGTCCCATTGCTGCTCCTATGATACACCTCAACCAAACCAAAGTCATCATCATTGTTAGTCCCATTGCTGCTCCTATGACACACCTCAACCATTCATTCTTGACATCGCCCAGATGGGGGTTTGCAAGTAGGCTATCTTAACCCAATGCTAGCATAATATACATAGAAACCCTTATTATGATAAATTTGTTGTTGTTATTATCATTACTATCATTCTTATCGTTACTTATTATTATCATTATTACTGTGTTATTGTTAGTGGTAGTAGCAATTAATAATAGTAACAATAGATGAAGATGACGACACAGCCAGATCCCTACATATAGAAGGAGATGGGGCCTAAAGACATGAGGAAACATACATTGAAGTCCATGTATGAGGCATGCATGGCGAGCCATTGCTGATCCATCAATTTGAATGTGATGCAGTAGAGAAGGTCGAAAGCATGTTCATTTTCTGTTTCACAATCAACCAACCATAGGCGAGGTAATCTCAGGAAGTAACAGCTAGCCATAATTCATACATATAATCTAAGGTAAAGTAGTTTTACATGCTCAATTGAATCAGAAAAATCAGATGGGTAATTGTCAGCTTTCAAAAAAAAAAAATTGTTATAGCTCATAGCATTTATAAATAAATCACATACCTTGTCATGAGCACACACAAGAAAATCAGAGGTATTATTCTTAATTTCCAGAGGATAAGGAACATGGTCATTTCACAAGGGTGTGAAGCACTTTAATCAGGTTGAATGAAAGGAAAGTGTGCTATCTCTTTTGTTCCTGAAAAACTCATTTTGGCCCATTTCATAGAGAAAAGGGGGATATTTTCAAAGAAACACTGGCAACTTTGGACAATGTCTGGTAGAAGAAAGAGAACAGATACTGTTCTGAATGTTATTTTTCCATTCCAAAAAATGGAAGTGACTATATATATAGGAAATACAAGTTGCTGACTGTATCGTCAAGTCTCAAGATATTTCAGATGGCCACATATGTTTGCATGAGTGTGGAGCAAACTTACCAGACAAGAGCTTCAAAAATGTTGCCCCCATCAGTGTGCGTGGTTTGACTAGGGAAATCAAAAACAAAAAACACTACCTTAATGATAATATTGCACACACATAATGCAAAGAAAGTAAGCAAAGGGACGCTACAAACCTGCTTGGAGATCAAGCATCTGAATGAGCATAAAAGTTATATTTACCCCAGCTACAGCAAAAGGGTATTCCCACATAGCTCGATTCCCGTCCTGTTTCCGGAGGAGATCTTGGAATGATTTCTGCAAGTGCATAATTATCTTATCAGACAGCATGAAAGGCCTGGACGAAAAGCAAAGGAAACCCAAAAGATATATCGCTACAGAAAGGAGGAAGAAAAAAATCCTTCTTTCTTCATTCCATATTCCTTTCATTCTTTTCACATCTTACCAAAGGGACAGACCCCTAATGTGCACTAAGTACACCAGGCTACAAGCAAGATGCCATTCCCATTTGCTAAAATCAATCAAAATGAACAAAGAAGGCTAACATGATTGGGTTTAAAATTCATATGGAGTTTGGCATCTCTGGGATCATTAAAAGTACATGCTTTGCATGCTTGTAGTTCATTCGAAGAGGAATGTCAGCCCCAACACAAGTAGCATAAACAATAGGAAGATGCAGAAAGGTTATGTCACAGCGAGTGATGTGTAGAAATGAGAACAAGAAATTGAGGAGTCTGTATCTTTTAATGTTATAAGGAAGCATTTGGAATACATTGGTGCAACTAGCTAAAGTATCTTGCTGATATCCACAGACGGTCAATGGCAGTCTCAGCAAGTTTGACATTTACACTTATCCAGTACAATTTTGCATACGTAAAAAACATAAAAGTTTGTGCAATCGCATGATCGTTAAATGCAGTCATATGTGTGTGTGTGTGTGGAGAACAATATTATGTTAGCCTGTAGGTTAACATTGTACAAGTTTGCCCATCCCTCAATTTTGGTATTAAGTGTATTATTCCAGGTCCATTTTTGCACACAAGCTCTTAAACCTAGCTCATATCCCCATGAAAAAATTTAGAAGAAAAAAACAACTAAAAAATGGTACACTTATCCAGGATAATTTTTGCATACATAAAAAAGATAAAGCTTGTGCAACCACATGACCATTAAATGCAGTCATATCTGTGTGCGGAGAAAAATATTATGTTAGCCTGTAGGTTAACATTGTACAAGTTTGCCTATCCCTCAATTTTGGTATTAAGTGTATTATTTTAGGTCCATTTTGCACACACAAACTCTTAAAACTTGCTCATATCCCCATGAAAAAAATTGGAAGAAAAAAACAACCCTAAAAATGGTTCTTTGTTTAGAGCAAATAATGGTGCATTGCCAACTCTCTTTTGGTGCATGTTAGATCTACGATTAGATGTGCTCAAAATCATTGCTTTAATTGTTCAATTAGTTCTTTTAGAACCATCCACAAAAAAAACCTTTTTTTTTTGGGGGGGTGAGGTGAGCGAACTCCTACAATGTCCAATAGGCTTATGTAACTTTTTTCATACATATGCATATCTATACGGGGAGTGATTTCATGCAACGGTTCTATAATAATATAATGAAACAATCTTCAAAAACCATGTTAAGATTTGTTTGACCCCCAATCCTTAAATATCTTTTCATTTTAACCACAAATCATAAAAAAATAAAATTTGAAAACACACCCTAGTGAAATATAGGACATCCATTTTGGTGAGATAGTTAGATCTAGGCCCTAGAATGATATTTTTCACTTCTAATTTTTTTCAATGGCTTTATTATCATTAAATTAACAATATTAAAAAAGAAAAAATTGATTTTGAACTCATAAAATCCAAGATCTTGAAATTCACTACATGGATGATCGAGATTCATTGTTGGAGGGCACCCATTTTGACCCTATCTAGGATGCAAATTGCATTTTATATTTTTTGGAATTGATTATTGGGAATGAAGAGAAAGTGTGTGCAAAATTTGGGATCATACAAATGCCACAAACATGATTTTCTAGAATGGTGGTTTTATTATATTACAATGACATGGAGACAAAAGATCATTCCCACATATATATATATGGAAAAGTCTTCCTAACGTCTGTAGGCGAAAATGAATAGTGATTTCGCCTATCTTAATCACCGTCCAAAGTTCATCGAACGGTCATGATTGTCCGGTAGTATTTCATTTTTCATTTTTTTCTACAAATCGGAATGACTTGAAATTTGGAGCATATGTACATCTTAGTGAGGCGCACCTAATAAAAATATAAAAAAAATAATTTGCAAAAACAATATTGACCAAAATATCTCCAAAACATTTCGGCAGTATTTTGGTCAATTTTTTTCATGTAAAATATTTATTTGAAATTTTTTGTAAATTTACCTGTTTTTTATGAACACAGGTTCCAAATTTCAAATCATTCCAATTTGTAGAAAAAAAAATAAAAATTAAACACTATCGGACAATCGTGACCGTACAATGAACTTTGGACGGTGATGAAGGTAGACAAAATCACTGTTCATTTTCGCCTATGGGTGTTTTGTAGTATCTTCCATATATATATATATATATAGAGTTTGTCTAGAGTTAACAACCCCTAAAAATACAAAAGTTAAAGTTAGAAGGGGTTGTGATAGGTGCATTTATCAAAAAGATTATTACTTTTTGTTTAAAAAATTATTTTAATATATAACTTAACCATTAAGAAAGGGCAAATTTGAAA